CGTATGTAACTTCTAGCTGTCGAGGGAACAATGATATCAGATTTATCGCAACTACCAAATTGGCTTTGGCATATATTTATTACATCACAGGCTATATTACTAAGTGTGATTCGAATATCCACAACTCATTTTTAATGTGTGCGATGACGCTAAATAAATTTCTTGTAAATGAGGCATCAGGAAAATTTGTAGAAAGATCACGATGACTTGTTACCTTGTGTCTTAATAAGATTGCAGGGCGAGCAGAATTAACTGGACCTCAGATAGCAGCGTATCTTTTGGGGTTAGGTAACCACTATACACCAAATAATTTTTTTTCAATTTACCTTAATACTTTTGAGATATATTTAACTAAGCAATTTCATATTGGGAAAAACTTGCCTGAGTTGGAGACTTCGAATAATTTTGATGATAGTACTGGTGATGATGAGCTAGAGCAAGATTCGAATAAAAATTGCAATGTGGATGATGAGGTATTCAGAGTAATAAATTTAGGTGAAAAAATGGCTGCAGTAAATTTACGTGTTGACTATATATATTGTGGTGAACAACTAAAAAATATGTGTCTCTATGATTATGTTGCAACAATACATAAAATAAAAATTAATGAAAAGGAATTGGATAAATTGGCTAGACAAAAAAACCGAGAAGGGCATGCAACAAGAGTTGACCGGTTTTACTTTTTAAGTGGGAACCAAGAATGTGACGAAACACATGATTATAAAATTGAACACCCACAGTGTTTAACACATATACAAGTTCACTGGTCCATGGAAATGAGAGAGTATCAGTGTTATGTGGGAAAGGTATTCCACACAGGGATGATCTTGAAAATGCTGAACAGTATGGACTCTGTATATTATTACTTTTTAAACCATGAACCTCTTCAAATGATCTATTGGGAGAGTGTATCTCATGGCATGAAGCATGTGATACTTTTTTGCGAAGTTCAAATATGTCTTCGTGGTTACAATCAATTATAAATAATATTGATCTTTTGCATAGATGTAAAGAAGAGACAATTTTAGACAAGCAATTACATCAGATGGCTAATAGAAATCCAGAAGCATCAAAACTTCGGCGAATAGAAAGATCGGTAGTAGGATATGATATGTCAACTGATGATATAGAATTACTAAATAGTCAAGAAGATTCAAATATTAAAGATGAATCATCCTTTGATCCATATGCAATAATACGCTCTGGGTTTCGTAATTCAAAGTTAATTGATAAAGCAATGTTACATTTACATCTTAAAGGTGGATTTAAGATAAGAAATGAAAAATTACAGAATAGCGAAGATATTTTTAACAAATTTAGACCTACTTGTAAAAATGATAATGACTTAATACAAAAATGGCAGGAAACTATAGTGTCACAGAAAAGGACGAAACCAGTAAATGAAAATTGTGATGATAATCATATACAGGAGTTTACATACACATCTAAGCATTTAAATCATGCATCATTACAGTTAAGAAAAATAATAAAGGAAACCGATTTATTACAAGAAATTTCAAGTGATCTTAATGATGAACAAAAGAAACTTTTTTTGCTTGTGTGTGATCACTGACAGCGCAATAAATTGGGTAGTCATGATAAACCAACACAACTGTTGATTCATCTAGGAGGTGCTGGAGATACAGGAAAATCTAAAGTTATTAAAGCAATTTGTGAATATTTTGACCGAATTAAACAAAAAGAATCGCTTGCAGTTTGTGCATCAACTGGATTTGCTGCATCAAGTATTGGTGGTTATACTCTCCATTTGATATGTGGTTTTAAATTTGGTGATGATGACTTTGTATATCAATCTACAAAAGGGAAATCTGCGAAATTACTTCAGGACCGGTGGGCAAGAATAGAGTACTTAATTTTGGATGAAGTTTCTATGATAGGTCAAAAACTTCTAATGCAATTTCACGCTCGTGTTAAAGAGGTGAAACCTGACTGGAATGATGCTTTACCATTTGCAGGATTAAATATAATTTTCTCAGGAGACTTTATGCAACTTCCGCCAGTACTTGACTTGCCATTGTATCATCCAGTCAAAATCGAGAGAACAGTACTATCAAAGACAACAAAATCGATACAGAAACGAATTTCAAGTTCTGTAAATACCCGGACAGTAGTAAATACTAGCGGCAGGGAATTATGGCTAACAGTAAAGCATGCGATTATCCTAAAAAAACAGATACGACAAATAAATGATTTAATGTATGCCTCAATATTAAATAACTTACGACATGGACAATTAACAACAGCTCAGTGTGATACTATTTATGATTGCATAATAACAGAGTATGAAATGAATTCACCTGAATGGGAAACTGCCGTGTTTTTGGTCCAGAGAAATGATCTACGAATACAAATAAATCTAGAATCAACTATAAAACATGCTAAACACCGTAATCAACCAACATATTATGTATGTGCTAGAGATACCTATAGAGATAAACCTCTCTGTAATAGTATAAGACGAAAATTTTTAAGTGTAGCGGATATGAGGTCGAATACGCTATGTGGAATATTGCCATTATCAATTGGTATGAAACTAGCTTTGACAGTTAATATTTGTGTAAAAGATGGAATGGCTAATGGTGCTCAGGGTATTCTTCATGAAATCGTATATGATGACACGGCTGTAATCACTGAAAGTATGAGTGTTGATAAAGGAAAAAGTATAATTATTGACAAACCTCCAAAATATATTATAATCGAACTTCTAAACCATACACCAGGTAAATATGATAATCTGCCATCAAATCATGTTCCGATATATCCTATCAAACAGAAATGTAAATATATGCATAAGATAGAAGATGGCTCGAGCATAACAAGAGAATTTCAGAAAACACAGTTACCTGTGACACCTGCTTTCACATTCACAGAATTTAAATGTCAAGGTGCAATATTAGAAAAAGCAATTGTTGATCTAAATGATGGTAACATAAAATCAGGTGTTTATGTTATGCTATCTCGTGTACAAAGATTACAAGATGTAATGATACTTTGGCCGTTTAGTCGTTCAAAACTTAATACAACTGTAGAACCTGACCTCAGAAAAGAGCTTGGACGTCTTGAGGAATGTTTTATAAAAACTAAACAATTAGAAAAATGGCCCTCTATTTAATAACGTATAAAATAATATGCGTAATTAAAAAAGCAAATATAGCTTTTACTAGTTTTCAATTAGAAACTATCTCTTACACTTTTCCTCTTTTATAACTGCATTATAACATTACTACTCAGATTTAGTATACTATCATTATATCAATTATTCTTTTGCACATTACTACTATATACATATATACATGCTCAATAGAAATTCTTAGTTATATTCATTGTGAACGCAAATATTATACTCATGTTTGTAATAATAACTATCACACGAATTATATACTTTATAATTAACCTCTTTACATCTGATTTATTAAAATAATAATTACAGATATTATGGAATAAATAATTTCCCTATAAATAACACTTGAGATGAGTTTATATTCTTTTTTTAAAGATGCGGACTTAAGAAGTTTATTATGGAATAAATAGTCTCTGTGAATAATATTTGGAATTAAATAAAATTTATATACTTTACTTAAATAGCTCCAACTTAAAAAGTTTATTTATTGTAATTATCACTTTTTACTATTTAAAACCGAATTGAATGTTTATATAAAAATTAATATAAATGTATATGACATCTTATTTATTGCGAAGTGATAAAACGATTAAAATATTACTAATCGAATAAACAAAAAGTAATTTATTTACAATTTAATAAAGTATACATAGTATATAAAATACTATAAAAAATATTTGAAATATAAATATATAGCGTATTAAAAGTAGGACCCAAAATAAAAAAAAAAACACCTCGATAAATAATATTAATCGTTGAAAATATAAACCACAAGTTACACCCTCTCGCTACTGTTGATGATCTTGGACAATTCAGACCGTTGTCTAGTATTGTGAACTACAGGCTAAATAATCTTTTCCTTGCCTTTATTTAAATTTTCATAATTACACTCTGAACTTTTATTATCCTGAACAATACCACTCTTATATTTATTACTCCTATCCATACTTTCTTTATCACGATCATTTGTATGTTCATCAACATACTCGGTGAAATCATCTTTCTCGTCTTCTACTCTTGTACGTTTGTCTATATGAAAATCCTCAGTAGTTAAATCAGTTACGACTTACTCTTTTTGTTATCTAAATCTGAATTTTTCATCCCGGCTGCTTTTGATGAATCTTTATTAACACTCTGATATACGTTTAAAAGTCTTGAACAAATGGATCTATATAGTGCTGGAGTATTCTCAGAAATATTAACTTTCTTCTTTGTTGCAAAACCAGTATCAATATTAGAAATATCGACGGCATACACATATAAATCCTTTTCAATAATCTGCATTTGCCTACAACAAAAAGCACTGATTCATGCAATCGAGTAGAATTCATTAAATGCTTGAATTGAGAATTATGATGTGGAAAAATGACTTTGATCGTAAAACTGTAAATTTGCCCAGCATAATCATTTACTAATACATTAAGTATTGCGTTTTCACGATTAGTCTCTTTAGGTGCATCCTGAGCAACACCAACAAGCGAAACTTTTAATGGGCACCTATTTGAACCAAAATCTTTTTTAATTGAAAGGTGAGTCGAGGATGCGACAGTCATCTAGATTTAAAAAATTTAATAATAGTTCAAAAATTATAAGCATACAACTAAATACACAAACTTTTAATCTTAAATTTCTATTGTAAGATCCAAGCACGATTTTTCTGCCAACACAATAATACTCATTTGTTTCAAAAATCGATTGTGAATTAGGATCTCTCTCTTCATCATTCATCGGAATAAATAAAGTCATATCCAATTCGCAATCCTCACTCTCAATAGAATAAACACCAACTGTCCGTACGGCAAACAATTTTGAATCCTTGTTGCAAGTTTGACGAACCTGATTCACTTTAACAATAGTATCAGCATAACAAGGCATCATGAACAACTAAACAACAAAATTAACTTATTTTTTGCGTATTGAAAAATAACTGCCGATATTTATTTGAATATAACAACAATAAATTACATCATATAAACTTCATATCTGAAGTGACATAAACCAAAAGATGTCACTCATAACAATTACCTTCCTATAAGAGAGATATGTATATATATAAAAAAAAAAAACTATCTTACTAATATTTTACAATAATATTCACACGAAAAAAAATATCACAAAAAACTATCCTTAAACAAGATACTGATAATGCGTGTTTAAAAATTCGTTTAATGAAATATGGTCATTATTATTGCTCAATCATAGACTTTAATGCTATGACAATGAAAATACATATAGAAAATAGATCAAATATCATACACTCGTAACTGTCCCTAGCTATTCAGAGATAACTTTACATTTAGACTCTAGTCCAAACAACAGGCTAACCAAGCCAGATCTATTCATTAAAACGCGCTATCAACAAATCCTAAATACACCTCACACCTTAATCTTGACATTAACACACTCCGATCACAAACAAGAACAACACTAGGTCAACGATACAAGAGAAAGAAACTTCATAATTAGATAGCAATTAAATGAAAATCTCTTTGAATCACACTGCTCTTGCAGCCTCAAAACCAATTTATCCAATCGTCGGTTCCTAGACCTTACACTAGTAGTTGCACTATTTCAAACCGCCGAGCTTTATAAACAACAGGTATGAAAGGTGGGCCAATAAAGCCAGCCTATACCAAAGTAAATAATAACAAACAGAAGATAAACAAACAACTACCCGGCGTACTAATCCTAAATACCCTTAGCCCAGTAACACACTCCCACCCTACACATGATATTCATATGAATAGACACACATCATGACAACTAATTATAACATACTAACGCAACAATTATTTATTTCCTATTAAAGCAATACATTTAAGACAAACAAAATATCTACAGACTACACTCATTAAGATACATAATGTCATTATGACAATATCCAAAAAAAGCTGTAATCGATCAACATGTGATCCGCAATACAGTCTACTAATCTCGCAATAATGACTGCTTTGTTACTTCGTTGACAAGCTTATCAAAACAAACAAATATAACAAAAAACAAAGTACAAAAAAATATTAAAAAAATACAACCAACAAAAAACCAACATTAAACTCCCATAAAAAAAACACGAAACAAAAAAAAATAAAACTAAAAATAAAAATACTCATGCTAACACCAAATGGTTTTCAAAAAAAATTTACAAAAATATAAGTCATAAAAACAAATTATAATAAAAAACACAACATAAGCATATCATAATTAACTAAGCGTAAAAACATAAATACCTTAATTAAATAAATTATATAAAACCATATAAATCAATAAACCATTAAACCTATTTCAAACAACAAAATTAAATAAAAAGAATATTAAACTATAAACACCTAAAAGAATAAACTAAATAAAAAAAACCTGTCACAGGTGATCGGACTGGTCCAGCGCGTCATCGCATGTCGCGCAGCTACCTAATTTCTGTATTTAGGTTACTTATACGTATTACGTATATTACGTATAAAAGAAGCCCCTAACACTTTCGATTAGGTGGTGATCGTTTTCTGGATCATTCATTACCTTGACCATTTCCACACAATAAATTAGATTTATATTCATTTATGTAATTGAATTTTATGCAAATTAACGGTAAATGTAGAATGCATTCATCCGCTTTATGTATGGTATTTTCAAGTTTTTATACTCAGTAGCTTAAGTTCATTTATATCATTTGTATCGTACTGTAGATATCAAGAATTCTTAATTTGCCACCATAAACTAAATGATTCTGTAGCTTTCAATTATCCCGCAATGCAAAACTCTCTGTACTATTGACAATTTTAACTTTGTGTGTTATTTTAAAATTTTTCTTTATTAACCAAGGCTTGACTTAAAATGAAATACTATTGCTTTAAATATAGCTTTAATTAAATATATATATATATATTTACTTTATTGGTTTTTTATTAGTTTGTAATCCTGTCCCAATTTATATAAAGTTTGGCAATAAACAATAAGCGCAGCAACTATAAAGCGTATTATATAATTTTTATTCATGACCTAAATTTTATGTTATTTAGTGAGTCAAAAATTGTGAAAATTATAATGGTTGATTAATTTTCTGCTATATTAGCAAAATTTCCTGTTAATACATACTGTATGTACCATGCATTCTTTTACTTATGTTATATCGATATTAGATGTGCAGACATTTAGAATTTTGGAGGTAGCTATACCAGCAAAAATATCACGGCGATACGTCGTATGAATACCGTATGCCGCCATTCACCTTAATTTAGTAGGCGAGTATAAAGATGATCTATTAATCGATGGATTAAGAAAGTGATTCATGTTTACAACCACTTATTTACTACTAATTAATACACTTCAGATTACTATTCTATTAGATCAGCGAGTATTATAACATAAATGCGGTAAAAGTATATATTATATTATCCCTTAAACCGTCCATTTTAGCAGACAAATTTGTCCGCTAAAATTGGATAAAAAAATTTTGATGTGAGCAAAAAAATTTTTATTAAAAACTTTACCCAAAT